GGATGGATGCTAGTGAGAGAGAGAGAGAGATGATAAATAGATTAGATAGAGAGACAGATAGACAGTGTAAATGGATGGGAGGATGCTAGTGTGTGTGTGAGAGATGGTAGGTAGGTAGGTAGAGATAGACAAGGTACGTAGATAAGATAGAGGGGTGGGAGGGAGGCTTTAGCATTGGTCTGTATGAACGTTACAGACAATTGCCAAGCCATCTTTTCATGCAAGCTGGACCTTCGTTTGGTTTCCCAATGAATCAAGGCGCCATCTTCTCCCTAGAGTTTAATCGTCGCCTGAAAGAGCGGATGCATCACAATATCCCTCATCGCTTCAACGTGGGACTGAACATGAGAGCTACCAAATGTGCCGTTTGCTTGGACACTGTGCACTTTGGACGCCAGGCTTCGAAATGCCTTGGTAAGCGGGAGAGGCAAGCTGAAGAAGAGTACCTGGGCAGGTGATCCGAGAGATGTTTTTGACAGGAAAGAGGCCGTTTGGAGGGGTGGGGGATGAGAGCAGTGGTGGGATTCGAATGGTTTTATCACCGGTTCGGTGGGCCTGGCTTGGTGGGCGTGCTTTGCCTAACGCCAGCACGCAGCTTTTCCAACACCTAGAGTACTGCATCCAGTTTTGGTCACCACACTATAAAAAAGAGGTTGAAACTCTAGAAAGAGTGCAGAGAAGAGCAACCAGGATGATGAGGGGACTGGAGGCTAAAACATACGATGAACAGTTGCAGGAACTGGGCCTGGCTAGTCTAGGGAAGAGAAGGACCAGGGGAGACAGGAGAGCAGCCTTCCAATATTTGAGGGGCTGCCACAGAGAGGAGGAAGGGGGTCAAGCTATTTTCCAAAGCACCTGAAGGCCAGTCAAGGAACAATGGATGGAAACTGACCAAGGAGAGATTCAACCTGGAAATAAGGAGAAACTTTCTGACACGGAGAAACAATCAACCAATGGAACAGAAATTGCTTTTGGAAGTTGTGGGAGCTTCATCCCTGGAGGCTTTCAAGAAGAGACTGGACTACCCTTTTTCAGAAATGGTGTAGGATCTCCTACTTGGTCAGGGGGTTGGACTAGATGACCTACAAGGTCCCTTCCAACTCTGGTATTCTATATTCAGTAGGACAGCTTGCCTTGTTGTGGGAGCTTCATGACTGGAGGCTTTCAAGAAGGGACTGGACTGCCATCTGTCAGAAATGGTGTAGGGTCTTCTTAGGTGGAGGGTTGGACTAGATGACCTACAAGGTCCCTTGCAACTCTGTTAATCTTAGTTAATCTTCCTCCCCTCTTTTCCCACCCTACCCCATCCCACTCTTTTTTTTTTTAGAATGCCAAATGATGTGCCATCCCAAATGTTCTGCCTGCTTGCCGGCCACTTGCGGCTTGCCGGCTGAGTACGCCGCCCACTTCTCCGAAGCCTTCTGCCGGGATAAATTGAATTCCCCAGGCCTGCAGCTAAAAGAACCTGGCAGCGCTTTACGGCTGGAAGGATGGATGAAGGTGCCCAGGTATAAACGTGAGTCTCTGCGCTGAAACATGCCAGCCCAGCTTTGAAGGCTGCTGAAGGAAGAGCAGCTCTTGGAGGCCATGGCTGAAAGCTGCGGAGGACCGTTTCTCTCGCTGACCCTTTTTTTGGGGGGGTGGGGAGGAGGGGCGGTAGCATCGTCCAACTTCCAGCTTGATCCAGAATCGTGCAAATCTTCTAAACGAGCCTTATCCTGTCTCTGTTTTCAGAAATAATAAACGTGGCCAGCAAGGCTGGGATAGGAAATACGTAGTTCTAGAAGGAACTAAAGTCCTTGTTTACGACACAGAAACGAGAGAAGGTAATATATATTTATATTTTCTTCCATCCTGTGCTTCCCTGTTTTCCCTGATGCAGCCATCCGTCCACCTGTTACTTTGGGGGGATGCGGGGAAACCGTTTTCTACTCAAGGATCAAAAGGATCCCCGTAGTATCTTTTCCAGCGAACCCACTGCAGCTCACGAGAGTTGCAAGCTGGTTGGTTAGAGAAGCGGCGACTCGAATCCTTCTGGTTATGGTTTTCGGTTTTGGCTACAAGCTTTCCGCCTCCTCTAACAGTTGCTCTTCAAAATGCTTTCCCCTGGGGGCCATTCAGTTATTTATTTATTTACTGAATTCTTTTGCCACTGCACATGAATTCAGTTTCATATATATATATATATATATATATATATATATATGGTATTCAGCTTTGTTCGGGTATTTTCCCACATCATTATAGTCGTGCTTTTAAAGTTGTAGCAACGTTTCGGCAGAATCTCATCTGCCATCATCAGTCTTCTGTATAATGTTCGTCTGCTACATATAGTGAAACGTTGCTACAACTTTAAAAGCACAACTATAATGACGTGAGAAAATACCCGAACAAAGCTGAATACCATATATATATGAAACTGAATTCATGTACATTTTTGTAGATTTTCACGGGCACAGGTATGTAGGTGTAGGTGTGTTCGGGTCTTTTCCCGTGTAAGATTAAGAGTATCTTGGTGACGTTTCGGCGAGGTCCCACTCGCCATATGGCATTCAGCTTTGTTCGGGTATTTTCCCACGTCATTGTAGTTGTGCTTTTAAAGTTG